ATAAAAACTTGAAGTCTGCGAGAGGAATCGTTCTGCCAGTGATAACAGCTACATCACTTACACAGAAGGAGGCAATGAACACATTTTTATTTGAATTTCAAGCAATTGTTGGTATTGTTTAATTACTCAAAATAATATATATTGAGGAACCATTCAGAATAATGTGTCAATACAAAACAGAATTCTTCAATACCTTTCAGTTGGCAATGTGACTAACTCCATATAAAGTGGCTTTTTTATGGGAGAGAGATTGAGTACTTTAAATATATTTTTAAAGTGCTGTAAACATACCTTTATTTGTAAAAACGATGAATGAGTGTATTCGAAATATTCGGAAAGAATTATAGACTTTCCTATTTATAAAAAACTTTAACTGTTCATACTGAAAATTTGTGTTTAAAGAAGTTAGTCAGCTTGGCTTCTGAACGCCTCATTATCTCTGTCAATCGGAATTTAATAGTAACAGGTAAGCCACATATGTATATATACGGGCACAAAAATCACAACAACAACAAAAATTCTAAAGTAAAGAATCTACATTGAGACCCATAACATTGTTACAAACAAATATCGTTTTTTTTATAATGATGAATAATTTTATAATCTTAAAATATAATTTGGATCCATTCACGGTCGCAAAACCATTTTTTAGTTCTGCCAAAGATAGTGAAATAATATACTATATAATACAGATAAAATTATTTATGTTAACATTTTGATGGAAAAATATACAAACTTTTGATTTTTTAAAATATTCACATATGTGTTTTGAGGCAACGACATTTTTCCTGTTGAAAGTTGTGAATACTGCATTTTGTGTATTACATTCTAAATCTTCCTAAATATACAGATAAATATATAAATATATATTAATAGAATTTGTATCCAAAATTCCAATTTAGAATATATCAATTTCAATATGTATAACGAGTACAAAATTAACTACTTCAATGGCAAAGGAAGCGATTCTATCTAATGTTCGGTAATGTTTACATCATGGTAAATAATTCTTGTTATACATTCATTCTTAGTAGAGCTTGCTATGCCATTTCGCTGATTTTCGTAATACGAGTCCCTAGAAATTGCAAACTTCATTGGGTAGCTCCAATTATAGATGTGCGTTTTTTACGTTTTTAGCTAATGGCATCCAATCATGGTCAACATTATATTCATCATCTGAAAGAAAGATTTCCATTTAAAATTTCTTAAAACTAGCGGATAACAATCTCTAGTTTTTTTTAATTCCACGAAAAGGGAAATCGGGCAGGGTCGATAATCACGCACGGCGAGTGCCGTCGAAATTTGAGAGAAGGAAGAGGACGAGAAATTTGTTGCAATTTCACCTGCGGTACACCATGTCGCATTGACTCGTATGTTACGTACCAGGCAATTGGTAGTCGTCTCATTGTAAATGCTAAGTCGTAAATGGTTCCGCACTAGACTATAGCGTAATCAAATATATGAATTACAAAGATAATGTGGATAAACATACTACAATTGAATTGACAAGTTCCAAAAAGTATTTTATAAGCAATTGCAGGGTAAAGAGCAACAGAAGAAGGCACTCTTAATGAGATGACATTAATGCACCTAAGATGAAGGGTTGCATGTACTCGTTGCATGTAACTGAAGAAAAAATGCAAAATACTTCCATTTCCAAACTGAGGGATGTATGCCACAAAAGAAATAACCTCACGGTAATATAACATCGAGGGGAGGGGATCCCTTTTGATGAAGGGGGCGCCGTAATTCACGTCGTTCGAAGAGTTTCAGGCTCGAATCCGCCATTGACATTGAGGACTGTGCATGTCTTCGCGTCGTGTTGCGAAGGCAAGACAATATAAATAGGGCTAGAACTTGAAAAGCTTCCTCCAATGTAAAATTCATGAGAGCCGAATAATCGACTCTGGGACAGGTTTCATCCATTCGTGGAGGACCTGAGAACAATTCGCAAATAAAAACCATTGGTGCTACCGCAGCACACACGTTTTCATAACATTTGTAACAGTTATTCAATACAATATTGCTACGTGTCTGACCTAATATTGAAGCATCTCTTGAAAACGTCTTCAAACACAACGTCGGAAATTAAAAACAATTTATATTTTCAATTTTTGAAATTTTAAGTTCTAATGAAAAGAGCAATTGTACCTTAGAATGCAGTGCAGTTTGAACTCACCTTACAAAAAGTTTAAAGAAAAATTTGGAGGTGTTTTTGAGAAAATATTGTTACGTAATTGTGGATGATTGTCACGAGTCCACTCTAAATTATGCAAAAACTACTTATATTTTGAAGGAAGGAAAAATAGAAAACAAGAACTACATGACGTCGGCGTAAGATCTAATTTTCAAGAACAGAGTTTACTAAGAAACTATCTCTACCTTCAGTACTGATTTATTGTTATAGAACGGAGTCGAACAAATGTGTAATTTTTGCAATTCAGAATTTTAGATTTTACAACAAAAATCGAACCAGTGCCATTTTTACATGCAAACATTGGACGATTCGAGAAAAGGAATTAAAAAAAATTGCAGATATTTTCGATAACATTTTGAAGTTATTGTACAAGTTACATGAAAAGAACCCCCCAAAATAAAAAAAAATCAGTTTAAGATTCGCAGGGTCTTGCCGTATCAACAAGGTCGATGGGAGACTATTCATTTTGAAGAAAATTTTGCGGACAGCTTAGAGGCGAGTGTTGTTCATAGGGAGGTCGACCAATGGACAGACGTTTTGAAAAAAACAACAACATATATTCGTTATCAATGACCCTCGGCACATTTCCAACAAAAGCTCAACAATAAATTATTCAGCATTACAATGTTTTCTCTATATCACATGTACGAAGCAGTAAAATATCGCGGGTAATTTCATACTATCATGCAAGACGGAATACACCATTGCATAACAAGAAACCATTGCAAGAAGTTGCGCAAAAGTTTGTGCCATCAATGAGTACTTTATTTTCTTATACACAAGTTAAATCCAGTTAATAATATACGTACCGTTGAATAATTCATAATAGGTAAAATGCAGGTAATGTTTTCATCTTCTTCAGGACAATCAAAATTGAATCTGTCTATTGCAATTGAAATTCTCGAGGACAAATTAAAAAAAGACTGCTGGCAAGCTAACGTTTTCGATCGTCATATGTCTCTCTATCTACAATGAATTATAGCGTTAAAAAGACAAGAATAGTGAAGCTAATAGGAAGGGTGGGGTTGGTACAAAATTAATTATATTCTCCAAAAAGAATAAAAGTCATCCACAACATAACTGATTATTATTTGATGAAATGTAAGATTGATGTTCTTTTCATTGCATTCAATATTTTACTTAACACATTTGTAGTATATTTTAAGAATGTCGAAACGTAAGCCCTTTAAAGGTATTGATTGCGGAGAATCAAACGTTAGTTGCATTTTCCACTCTTGCATCGTCTCTGAAGATTCATATCGATTGGATGTCAAAAATTCAGTCTGTAAATGGAAGTGTAGTAGATGCTCCTCGGCATCACAGACATAATGTAGTCGATTTCCACATAAAAGAATAAAGGTGTTCGAGTAAAGATAATTGTTTCAGTCTTTCCAGCTTCAGAGAATTGTTGACATATTTCAACAAGTATGTGAGGAATTCCATGGAACATTATTTCTTGTTTTTTCAGTCAATCTTGCTTATGTGTTGCTAGTACAACGCAGATATTGTTGTAAAAAACGAAACAAAAAGCACATGTGTATGCTTACGTGATGCTGTACACTTAAAACAATGTATTTAATTTTCTTTTTTCTTGGGGCTACCTCGATCATCTATTAGATACGTGCGGCAAAGAATACTATTAATAAAAAGCGAATATAAATAATAAGGATGGAATGGTTTGTGTGATTTTTCATATGTCTTGCCTCTTGTTCGAAAGCAAAATTTGTGAAATATACCATCGATTTAGTTACAGCTTTCTCTGCCTAAAATATTCAAAACACATTTCCGTCGTTTTCGTTGCAGGAGTTCGTCGATACTTAAATCTGTTGCCACGGCGAACGTTTCCGATGCCCCCAAACAATCGTGTGCTCTAATTTGCGAGCACGGAGTCTGTTCCACTGGTGAGATAACAATACGTGGATAAGCGGTGCGCGGCGAGTGTGGGCCGAGTGCAGGCCGGAAGAGGGGGAAGGCCGGTGGTGTGGGGCGAAGCGGGGCGAGGCAGGTCGAGGCGAGGCGAGAAGGCTCCTTGGCTCGCGGCGGATAGCTTAAGCAGGCTGAAGTGGCGAGGCCATGCACTGGACTCGGGCCGTGCGACTGGCGGTGCGGCCACGTCACTACGCCGCACCGCGGGCTCGTGGATCGGCGTCGCGCCGCGCCGCGCCGCGCCCATCGGTGGCCCTAGGCCCCGCCGATCGCCGTCGAGCGGCTGCTCTCTCCCTGCGGAATGCGCCTTCAAAGCCGCAAATCCCATCGCCGAATTCGCGCTTCCGCTTACTGGTCGCAGCACGTGTCGGCGGGGCTACGACAATGTTCTGCTCTACAGGAACGATAAACTCTACAGCTACGATAACCGGTGATAAAAAATGCTTCGGTGCGGCGCACCTCTCACCGGGCCACAAACGCCGCGAGGCGCACGCCTCGCGTTGCTGTCGAACAGCATATTGCTACTTCGTACTCAGTAAGATCCAGTTTTTCCTCGCGTGCTTTTGAACGTTTTCTTTTTTATTCACCACACGATTATAGTCGTTGAAATACAGCTCACAGTAATGTTATCTTCCTTGCAGATAAATAATCGGAAAAATTTCCAATTCGTAATTAATTACCAACAAGTAGTTACAATAAACTAGTTATGAAGCATCGAGAACCACATTTTCTTTGTTGAGTCGCCGAGTAGCGAAATGAAGTGTCACGCGACTGGAGAGCAAATCAAGGCACTTATGAATGGAGGCGCGGGAGACCATGCCTGCCGTAATAGGACCCCGACGTCCCACTCCGTCGGTCGGATCATAGACATACTCACCTCCGGCGTGAGCGCGGCAGGCGGGGCGGCCGCCCACTGTTTGTCCCCACTGCTCATGGCTGCGCTCCTCTAGCGACTACCACTGCCTCGAAGGTGAAGGCGGCGCGCGCGGCGTGGGTTTCCGAAACGGGCGCGGGCGCGGC